CTCAAAAACGTTCCAAAAACCCATCTTTAAATTCTCCCCATGAATGGAGTGGATACCTCGCCTCCCTCTACTAAAATCAAGCTAGGGCTTTGCCCTCCAAACATGGCCCCATTGCCATGAGCTTTTCCCCTTCTGTCAGCCCATTTATGACAAAGTATCTCTCCACCCGATACACCCATCCTTGAGCATCTTTTCCTTCAAAGACTGTAATCTTTAGCGTTCTCATCCTAGCATCTCCACCTTAGTTCCCTCTCCTATTGTTGTTTCCCCTTGTGCATCGTGGGTGGAAAACCCACCTTTCTTCCATTCGACCTCCATAGTGATTGGCCACCACACCATCTCCCCCCACAAAATTCCCTTCATGCTTCCCCTTCTTCTGAAGACCCTATTCCACCTTTCATCTGAGCCCTAAGAGGTGGTTCTTGGTGGAAGAAGCTCTCCTCATCAAACTCCTCCCTTTCAATCCCTTTTCCCTTAGTTGTCGTTAAGGGAATCCCGATCAATTCTTAATGAGGGTTAGTACTTTTAATAACTGATGAAGTTTTTGTTTGCTTAACATCTTCTCCACCCCGCCAAATCGGATTTCCATAGACGAAACCCTCTCTTCTTCCCCCACATTGGATTTGAATTGCCCCATCTTGCCTTTGAACATGTCAACCTTCTTTGCTGCCATTCCCGAATCTAGGCTCCAATTCATACGGAAAACAACAACAAAACAAAAATAGCGTCTATGGTCTTTAGGCTGAAAATTTCAGCAAGCAGGGAGAAAAAACGATGTAGAAATCAATGAGGACCAAGGTTTGGTCCCAGACACCGCACTGATACCAATTTGATACGCCTAGACATAAAAAACAGCCAACGAACCCCAATAAATTCAGTAAACAACATATTTTTTTTATTGATAACAAGGAAATAAGAACTAGCAAGATACAATGATCCTCTTTTAAGAGGAGGATCTTCTCTCACAAATCCTAGAGGCCATGATGATCCCTCACAAAAAGAAAACTATAGCAACTTCAAATCAAGTTTTGCATAAAAGAAAAAAAACTCTAAACTTGGACTTAAATAAGCTCTCCTATTCTTCCCTCTAAATCAGTCCCCTTTCCTAATTTATTTCTATCCTATTTGAATTTTAATTAGCAAATCTTTTCCTAATTGATCGCCTGCTAACATAATGAATTAGTGTCATGACCCGGCCCGGATGCTCGATTTAACGAGTTAGGAACTAAAAGTCGGATGGTAGGATCTAATCATTTTAGTTCAAAACAAAACAACATTAAAACATCAAATTCTCTTTCCCATTACTCAAAAGAGCCACTAACAAAAAATTTCTAAAAATACCTAACATTTATTTCAAATCATAAATTGTCTGTTACCAGTTGTATGTCGTCTTCTATAAACGAACTCTTCTCTTTCTGCCATTTCTAAATCTTTGGAGACTTATCTGAAATATTTAATTAGTGGAATGAGTTTACATAGTAAACTCAGTGGGTAACAATTAAAATAATTTGCATGCTTAATATACAATATATATATATATATATATATGCTTTTCATTTTCACTTTTCATTTCTTTTACATCTCTTGTTCATTTATATATACTTTCTTATCACATATACATTTTCTTTCACATATCCATACTTGTACAAACATTTACTTCGTATAATAGTTTCCAAAAATATATAAATCATAAGCTTTAAACAATTATATGCATGCTTCTTTCAAAACAAACTAGAAAATACAATAAAGAAAATTTCATAAATACCCACTTTATTTTCTCTTCCAATTTCGTCCAGTAATGAGAACTGTTCACAATAACATAATAATTTAATTAGTATTAAATCAAATTGAATTCCTTAACAATATTTAATTTCTTCTATATCATTACCTCACGATAGTTTTATCTTCCAGGAATTCTTGTTAAATCGAACTCCTAAAGCTTTCTATCTCTTCCTTCCTAAAATCTCTAAAATCAAATAATAAAATTTTCCTGAAAACTTGACTTACTAATAAAACTTAATAAGAATTTTATGATAGAATTTTACTCATGATATAAATTTACTTATAATGGGGATTTTCCAAATCTCCCAAAATCTCTCTTTCCCCCTTCAAAATTTCTTCTCCTCACTTCCAGTTGTCTTCCTAACCTTCAATTTAATGTCTCTAATAATTAGAGAAAGAATTAGAGAATAATGTATACAAAAACATTTAAAACAAACCTTTTTCCTATCTCCCTCGTCGTTCCTCTCGCTCGTTGAAACTTCTTCCAAATTTATCACTTCTTTAACGGTAGGAATGAAAAGGAGTTATTTAATCTTACCCTCCAACACAATTGTTTGCTAAAATTGGGAAAAACGAACTCACCGGAAGCTCTCGCGCACAATCCGCCCGCCTACCCTCTGTTTCGCAAAAATAAGTAGTACCAACCTCTGTTGGGGTTGCAACTCTTATTAGAAGGGGTTGGCCGGAACCAGCCACCCGAATCGGTTATTACAATTAGCTCCATGCTGGACCCCACCAAAGTAGTCGACTTCCCTCCCTCTTCTCCCGCCGAACCTTCCTGGGCCAGCTTCTGTTGGACCAGCCGATCCGACTCTTCTTTTCGGGCCTGCACCAAGCAGCCTGCTGCTGCTGTGGCTTCCGTTGTACCATTATCTTGTTTCATCTCTGTAATCTTATTTCTATAAATAAGGATTTTTAGCTTCTATTCGAACCACTGTTTCATTTGATGAATAGAATTATTATTGAAGCCAGTCATGAATGTTCTCTCTATGTTTGTTATGCATATGGAGTTTTCCTTATTATCTTTGCTTCTTTCCTTTTATGGTGTTGCCTCTTTCAAAGTGGCTGGTTAAACTAATAGAGTTTAAAAAAACTATATTAATATTAGCGAAGCAATTTGATTTTGTGCTAGTACGATCTACTATAAAGGCTATTTTTATGCCAAAAATAATTATTGGAAAAACATATAGAGCAACAAAATAATTTTTTTGTGTTATTTATCTATCTTGAAAAACATATGATTGTGCATTAAAAGAATTATTTAGTGGGATTAGGTAGGAAAAGCATGCCTAAAGCATGTTAAGTTATTAAACATATGTATGACTGACCATAAGTAATAGTAGTTGTATGACTTGTCGAAGAGTTTTAGTTCACTCTATAACCACACCGGCGATAAATATTGATAGATTAATATATTCTTAAGTGAAAAATTGAAATAACGGTGAAAATATATAGAAGATACAGACCTCAAGTTTTGTAAAATATAGATTGGGTGGATGATATTTGGATATGAAGTTGATAAGTATTACTCAATATTATTAGAAGACCTAGCATGGTATGTTTTATTTTCTTTTTTGAGGGAAAACATTATAGCATTAGGATCTGTTATGGAAGGACATTGATATAGATGAGATTGTAGATTTTAGAGTTAAAGTTGGGTGTTTAAAATGGATAGTGCCTCAATTATTCGTTGGAGTAATAGCAAATAACTTGGATATTATGCAAAAGAATATTGATATAAGTGGATCTTGATTTTTGTATTTGAAGTTGCATGGTTCAAAAAGAGTTGAATGTTAAGACTACTATACTTTAATACCATATAGATCTTAACGAGTAAAATTTTTAAATCATAATTAGACTGATATTTAAATGTTAGTGTTGTTACAAAAAATTTGTGACAATTATGCAGTGATTGAAATGAGAATGATGGGTTGGATGTTAGGATATAGAGTAAAAAGTGAACAGTTAGAGAGATAATGGGCGTGACATTTATTCCGTACAAAGTATTAGAAAATATATGGCAAAAATATCGATCCCTTAACTTTTTATGAATGACCAAAATAGTCCCTTATGATATAAAAATACTAATTTTGTCCTTTGACTATTCAAATAGGAATCAAATTAGTACTTTTGTGGGATCATTTAGGTACCTATTTAAAATTCAAGGAACTAAAATGAGACTTATAAGTAATTGGGGATCATTTTGATGCTTCGTAAGAGTCAGGAGACCATTTTGAGCTTTATCTTGAAAATTAATTTAGTCTGTTTGTGTATGCAAAAATAGAGACTTTTTAAAAAAATTGACTTTTTTTTAATGAAAAAATGATCATTTTTTACTAGATTGAAATGAGAATTTGACTCTAGAATAGGACACAATGAGGAAAAATGATTCATATAGCCAACCGTACGCAGTGGGATAAAAGCTTGCTATTGTTGGGTATGCACAATAAAGAGGGTAGAGATGCATCATGAAGGTAGGTAGCTAGAATTAATACCAAAATTAGAAAACATTGGATTTACCAAAATTAATATGGCTAGAAGTCATTCAAGTGAATAAAAAAAAAAAAATCTTTGATATATTTAGTGTCCCACGTAGCATAATGTATTTGAAAGGAGGATTCATAAAGGAAAATTTTAATTAGTTGAGATAAGGCTAATGCTTGCATGGTCAGTTTAACTACTTTAATTGGGGGCTTATGTCCTACGATGATGTAAACTCCTTGTGTTATAATATTTTAAAAGTTTCATCCAAGATATTTCTATTTTTTTTCTTTATTTTTTTGAGTTATTATGATGTTCTCGCACCTCATTATTACAAATGGAAATTCAAACATCATATTCATAATATAATTCTTATTTCTAGTATTTTTGTAATTGGCTTATGAGGAGTATTTTGAAAAATTGTTATTATTGCTCCTATTCGGTATTTTGGTTGTCATTTCTCTGTTTTGCACTCCTCGATTACCATTTCTCTATGCAACCAAGGGCACATTTGGTTGTTTGTGGATGAAATGATCTTTTAGAAGGTGATGATTTTGCTTTTTGGTATTTTGAGTGGAAAACTGAAAATTTCACTTGCGGATTTTAAAGTGCTTTTATAGTTGAATATTCATATTGATGTCTATTTATGTCCGACCATGACAAATGAAGCACTTTCACGTATGAGTTCTGCCTCGATCTCAATTTTTCATTGATTAGTTATTTTCTTTCTGTGGCAGTATTACTTTGTTGGATCACTCAAGATTTTGAACTTTATGCTGCTTTTGACCCTCTTGCTGACAAGGTTTGATCTTTACTATTCTCGAGTTGTGCTTATTTATTTTTTGAAAATTTCTTTGACTAGTTTAATAAGATGGGCATTGAAAATGAAGTTCAATTGATTTGAGCTCTCAGATAATGCATAGAGCAATGACTCTGTTGTGATGATATGTAGGCACTTGCAATAAAAACATGCAATCGGGTATGTCAATGGGTCAGGGATTTGGAAAACGAGATATTTCTTTTTGGAGGAAGCCCTTTCTCTTGGTGACATTATCCATTGTATGTATCTCTTAATCATGATTCTATATTTAATAAAATCATCCATTGCATTCATTTCCTTTACTTTGATTTTAATTAGCAAAAAACTGGACATTCATTCTTTGAGCTGTGTTTTAGGATGAACATTTGTAAAGATAGCCTTGTACATCATATGCAGTTACTAACGATGTACCATGTGACCATATTGATGGATTCCACATTTCTTCAGCATTATTACTGACAGGTTTATTTCCACAATGTGGGTAGCTTTATAAATCTTCTTTCGTCCTGTCTTGTTCCAAAGTTGCTTTTTTGTTTTTGATATCTGCTATCTGGTTGAGTCTTTATGGAAGTAACTTGGACTAATCTAGTAGCAAGTGAGCTCAAGTACCTGCGGGTTTCCAGCTCTCTTACAACCACACTTGATTGGAGACCATTGAACATATTCTTCAGCGACATAAAACCAGATCTGGCTGCATGAAATAAACTGTAAATACCCATAGATCTTCCTCAACTGTTTTTTAATTTAATCTTTGCACTTAATCTATGACACGATGTATGCCTTACAATAAACGATAATATGAAAATGCTGTATTTTTTGAGAATAGTTGAATGCTTTTAGAATAATAATGGAAGCATCAACGAAGCATCCATAGAGAGCATTGCCGGAGTTGTTAGCGGCGAGAGTCGGTGGAGGAGAGATTATAGCAGTAGGGGCGGTTGACTTCTAGAGAACCAAACTAGAGAGAGAGAGAGAGAGAGAGAGAGAGAGAGAGAGAGAGAGAGAGAGACTTCTTTCGTTCTGTCTTGTTCCAAAGTTGCTTTTTTGTTTTTGATATCTGCTATCTGGTTGAGTCTTTATGGAAGTAACTTGGATTAATCTACTAGCAAGTGAGCTCAAGTACCTGCGGGTTTCTGGCTCTCTTGCAACCCCACTTGATTGGAGAGCGTTGAACATATTCTTCAGCGACATAAAACCAGATCTGTCTGCAAGAAATAAACTGTAAATACCCATAGATCTTCCTCAACTGTTTTTTAATTTAATCTTTGCACTTCATCTGTGACACGATGTATGCCTTACAATAAGCGATAATCTGAAAATGCTGTATTTTTGGAGAATAGTTGAATGCTTTTAGAATATTTCAAACTTCGCTTTCACAAAAGATAGTGTAATATTTTGTTTCAATCAAGGCATGTTGCATCTACCGGTGCCAGTTAAGGGTGCCTGTTGTACTATCAGGGATGTTACGAGAGGCATTGAGCCCTTAGTCATGTTTTTGTTTGCATTATTGTTCTGAGTTAAGCCTCTTGTATTTTTAATGTGCAGAATCTAAAAAGATCCTGATTATAGAGTCGATCAGTAGGGTGCTTTTCTATCAAACTTCTTGAACATTATCTTCATCAATGTTTTGTTGATCAGAGCCTTGAAGAGAGAGAGAGAGAGAGAGCTCAACATTGCAGTATCTTGTTTGATTAGATTCTAGCCTGTCTACTTAATTTTTGGTTTTCCTATACTTGAGATCATAGTTGCTAAAATCTCATCTGGGTCGAAATCAAGAAGATGGCGCTTATTATTGCCCCCGGCCTGAATTCTTTTTCATTCAAGCAGGAAATACCCGATAGGCTGCAGCCCTCTCCACACCAGCCTCTTCTCTTCCTCTTGGAAAGCTCTACACTGAACTAACTATCAAAGTCGAACCAGAGCTACTAAATTCATATAGGACACTTTCCCAGTAAAATCGGCTCATTGATCCAGGAGACGAGGAAAACAAATAAACACTTGTAATTATGTTCTTGGATGCAGAACTAGCACAAATAGGGCTTTAATTTAGTTTGTTAAATGGAAAATTTGTTTTTCAGATATTTTCTTTTTGGTATACACAGTCTTCTTGATCCCTCATTTATGTGAGTCTCATGTATACCACTCTTAACATGTTTGTTCAATGGGATAAGGAGTACTCATTTTTACAGATTTTGCCTCTTTTGATGACTTTTGGTTTCGATAAGATATAATACGGTTGACTATTATTATGCTGTTGCTGCCAGATAAACTGGCACTTTGGCATTTGAATCTTACGAGATAATCCAAAATCATTAAAACGTGATTAGTCAGAAACTGTGCGTTGTTGCTAGTAATCACTTAACCGAAGTGAAAACCATTCTTCCAAAAGTAGAAACCATTTACAAATTTACACTAGAAACTGAACAATTTCATGTCCTAAACTAGAGAAATTATTACGTGCGGAGTCCGGATGCGACTTTTTAAGACGTAATTTTTTTCTCTTGTATATATCTTGTATACAAGAGAGAAAATAAGTTCATGTATTCTCATGTGATTAGAGTCCGGACTCCGCACGTTATAATTTTTCCATGAACTGTTAAAATGCCTATGAAAAATGTTCAGTGGCTTCATCTATCTCTTAACAGCCATTGAAGCAGCTTCTAAAAGGCTTCAAGGATGGGGGATTCCTCCACTGAGGAAGATCACCTACCACCATAAGAGTGCATAAGAGAGGCCCTGCAGCCATCACAGCTTCCAGAAGTTTTCCTTGCTCTGGTAAAGGCTTCTTCATCAACTGATCTAATTTTGATTCGACGACGTCATATTTGCATCTAATGGATGGGACAGAAATGTTCATCTCCGACTTCTTTGACTCATCAATATATAAATTTGAAGATTTGATGCCGGCGATTGTGATTGAATCGCCGTCGCCGGCGGCGGAGTTGATGACAGGGGAAAGAGCATAGGAGTGTTGATTTTGTATGTCGGAAAGGCTTTCAGAATCAGTAAAGCTTGAGCTGCATTTGGCTGGCATCAATAGTGGGGTTTCTGGCTGTCTCTGATAAGCTAGGAGCATTTGTAATTGGTCTCTGGCTTCATCTCGTTCTTGAATGGCCGCGTTAAGTAGCCGAATCAAATGATTTATTTGCTCATCTTTCTTCCTCAACTCCTCTCCAACATTGTTTCTCAGCTCTTGGAGTTCCCAACTGGTTGCCCAAAGATCACTCCTCAGCTCATCTACAATCTGTAAATGAATTAATAAGTGAAACTTTAAAATAGGATCATTTGATTGAATGAGTAATATGAGCATTTATTTATGCTAGATGAAAAGAAAATTTTGACTCTTAATATGATATAATAGAAAAAAATGATTCATATAATGAATTTGAGCTAAAAAAAATGATGATGATGTTGCTATTATATTTAAAATTGACTTTGAAAACAATAGTAATCCTCAAATAAAAGGTTATTTAAAAAAAAAAAAGATGAATAGTGCCCTATATGAGAAATTATTATGTGCGGAGATTGGATGCAGAATGTCGTCCAGAGATCAACCAAAATGCGTCATGTTAGTAGTGCCGAGTTACGGTACTAAGCAGTATCGAGCAAGGGGTGATGTGGCGCATTTTGGTTGATCTCCGGACGGGCGTATGGTATACAGCATCCGCACGGAATAATTAATCGCCCTACTCTCCCTCCCATGGATGGTACTGGTAGAAGATGCAATATACAGTACACCAAAATGTCAGTAAAATGCATATATATGCGTGGTGTCTACAAAGGCATTGACAGAAATATTGACAGAGATCATCGACATAGATGTCGATGAAGGCATCAACGAAGCATCAGCAAGGGAGCATTCATACAGAGCATCGCCGGAGTTGTCATCGGCGAGAGTCGCTGGAGGAGAGATTAGAGCAGTAGGGGCGGTGACTTCTAGAGAACCAAACCAGAGAGAGAGAGAGAGAGAGAGAGAGTAGTAGTAGTAGAAGAAGAACCTCTTGGTAGCTACAGAGAGGATGCGCTGCGATGGAACAATCCATGGATTTGTGTGGAAGCCAACAATGCTTTTCTTCGATATTTTAGACTTTCAGCTCTTTATATGGGATAGAATTCTCTCGCAGGATTTATCATTAATAACGAAGGAGAGGGTTAATGATATATTAGGAAGGAATCAATCATTTATATGGAAAGTATTACCGACAATTTATTGCACGTATTTTAAATATTTTTTGTTTTCCCACCAAACTTCAAATCTTCAAAAATAGAAAACAAGTACATAATTATAAAAATTAAATTAAAATTTAAAAATTCTTTACTTAAAAAAGCTAAGCGAACTGCGAAGCCCAAAAATTAGCAAATAATATAATCTTTTTAGACTCTAATGATATTAAATTAGGGGGATTTTGCATAAATAGCGCATAATTTTTATCATTTACACATAACATTTAAAACTTAAAAAATATGTTGACGGATGTTTCCCGGCAATATTTCATCATGAACTCATTATCATGTCATCTTTGATGATTATCTATCGCGACTCTCTTCATCTTTTATGATTTTGTCAAGACCGTTTGGAGATATTAATAAAATGGCCCAATGGCCTATGAGTGGTGGTGCATGGCCGTTCTTAGTTGTAGCTCTGGGAGGATGCATCTCTGCGTCAGGTGGGAGGACGCAATAATAATTCCTTGCTCCCCCCTCCCTCTGCCCATGGTTCAACCTGTGTGGCCAGCTTCTTAGAGGGACTATGGCCGTTTAGGCCACGGAAGTTTGAGGCATGTAAATAATAAAATTAGAATGTTAAATATGTAAATTATATAATTATGAGTGTTATCTATGTAAATTAAAATGAAGACCGGTTGGTGACTTGTATGATATATGTTGATGTCAGTTGACTGGCGTTGACTTTTTGTTTAGGATTTAGGGTATATAATTATATATAACTGCACTATGCTCGGCTGTTTTTTTTTCCTTTTTGACCTTCTTTTGTTTTATTTTATTTTATAATTTTGTAATTTGATGCAAATTTTATTTTATTTTGGCTGGCAATATGTTGCTTCTTGGCTAATCAGAAAAGATTTAATTTTTTTTTTAACGATATAGTATTTTAAAAGCTTTTTTTCAAACAAATGCTTATTTTTAAATAATTACGGTTAGTTCTGCTTTCTATATTTCACAGCAAGCCTTCTATTTCTAAGTTGGCAAGCTTTATTCTCGATTCATTTTTTAATTAATTCCTGAATTTAATTACCATGTCAATATATTCAATGCACGGAGAGAGAGAGAGAGAGAGAGAGAGAGATTTCAAAGTTACAAAGATTAAGTAGATATTTAATTTGGTTCTACTAGTTCTTTGTGGAATTCGATAGTGTTGATCAATCCTTCAATTTTGTCGGGTGAGCTTTTAAGGTTTAGAGTCGTGGGCATTGTAAATCCAACATTAGGGCACTATGGAACTCCTTTGAGACAGAGAGTGCACAGTTGTAACAATATGTTTCAGCACCACGGCATTACGAAGTAGAGAAGTCGCTGCTGACACTCTATGAGTTAGTTGTTGATTTAGTTTGAAAGAGTGAAATTAATGAGTGTGAGTGTTAGGATATGTATAATTTCTCTCATCTATTATAGTTTATTTCTTAGTGTGTTGTGGCTCCATAATTTTTTTTTAGATTTTTTATGTTTTTCTCAATTGTTTTTCTTTCTTTCCTGTTTATTTCATTTTTTGTTTGCTTCCCAACAGATTCTCTCACATTAAAAAAAATCTATTTTATTCTTCAAATTTATTTTCACCCTTGTATTCCAAAAAAATTATTATGTAAATTGAACAACCTTGTAGAGAGAGATATTTCTCGTTTCAATAGGCTGGATTGCGGTCAAGCCGGGCTATTAGCCACAGTTGGGCCAACAGATCTTACAATCATTTTGCTCTTATGGATCAACTCGGCCCATTTAACCGTTGCCCAAGTATGATTTACAAGTTCAGCGTCAGGTTCATCCGTTCACTCACTTAAAAATGTATAAATTTATAATTTGCTTTGTTTTTTGTTTGGTATTATAAATATTATATATATGTGTAATACTATGTTGATATTAGGGGTGTTAAATTGGGTTGACAGGTCAGGTTTGGGTCTAACTTGAAATTGACCCGACTTGAATTCTTTCAATCCAAACTTGATCCATTTAATAAGCATGTCAAAAATATCAATCCGAATACAACCATAATGATTTGAATCAAACCCATTAACATGTTTTAGTTAGTTTTCTTACATAACTTATTAATTATAAAATTTAAAATATTTAATAAAAAATAAGAATATTATAACCATAAAATATATATATTAAACTAATATAATCAGAAATTCTCCCTTCGAACTCCATTCAAATATCCTCTTTCTAAAATCAAAAGAAATTTTGATTCTTTTACTTATTTTAAATAGAATTTAAGAGATATATATCATATAACATAAATGCCCTTTTTCAAATCAAAAGAAAATTTATTCTTTTAATTAATATAAATAAAAATTTTATAGATATTTATTTCATAAAATATAAAATTGTATTTTCATTTAATGATAATAAAATTAAAAATCTATACATATATAATTTTTAAAAAATAATTATCTAAGATTTATACTAACCTTTGACCATTGCACCAACTATTTTTTGGCATACGCTTCTACTCTTATCTTATTGAAGAGAAGAATGAGTGACTTCCTTCAGTAATATTCATTTATCTCCTAATATATTGCTTAGGGATGATAGGTAAAAAATTTATAAAGATTAGGTAGAGAATATTTCATGAGAATTTCGGCATCTTCTCCACAAGCAAACAAAAATTGAGGTAGCTTTGTTACATATTTAATAATGCTTTATTTTTTGCTAACTAAGCAATGAATTTTCAAAAGAAAATTCATTGAATCCTGTTATTTTCACATGTTTTCAATATGTTGCCTTTTTATGGGGACATTTAGACTAATTAAGTCAAACTCACACACACATCACATACGCAAGATTCGAACCCAAGACATTTTAGGAATTATTTGCGACGTCTTTCTAACTACTTCTTAATGCAGCTTTTCAGTATAAAATTTTTTAATTTTTGTACTAAAAAACTGCTTCAATAAGCATTAAGAAAGCCGTCCAAAACAAAACTTTAGATGGCAGCCAAAGCTTCTAACCAACAGATCAGGGAGAGCTGTGTCTGAAGTTTATTTCTAGATGTGATGACTATCCAAGCAATGACGTTCATTTGCCTGTCACTTGTTGAGATTGAAGGAGATATGTGAAAGTAGTTGTCAATACTAAGATCTTTATGTGCTTAATAATGTTATAAAACTATAGCTTACAGAATATGTTGGAATGAGATAATTTTGTTTAAGTTCTTTTTGGTAGAACGTGTTGAGTATGTTCTCAAGCTGTATCTTTTCTTTCTTATCTGCTGCACTTTGTTACTTACTGACACCTACTAAGGCCTCTATGTCAATCTCTTACCTGCTATCGCATGTGTCTATATGTTATTGCTTTAAATTGGTTTTATTTTATTTTTATGATGAGTGCTGAAGTATAACTAGTTAAAAATTAGCATGTTTGAGCCCAGACTAGTGGCAAGTAGATAAAAGCTTTTGACCACTCGACCATGCACGTCTCTATTCGGTCCAATTTTCTTTGCTATTCTATAGAGCTCATCTTAGCCTGTTGGTTCAGAGCTTAGGTGACGTCGGAGTTGAGCTGCTTAATTCTGTTAACTTTTTGCTAGAGTAATTCCATATGATAGTTTGTATGTCTGTGCAGGAGTACTAGTGTTTTCTTATGTTGGGTGTAGCCTATTAAATTGTTGCAGTTGTCTATAATATATGTAGACAATATTTATACGGGGAAAGGCAGATTTTTTAGAATAATAAAATATAAGCTTTTTAACCAGTTATATTGAATCCTGTATCCTGAGATTTGATTTCAGGTGGTGGATTCTTTTCCTAAGGATTCTTGGAGTTGTGCTCTGCCACCGTCATAGCATCATCGACGCGGAGTTGTCGACCCTCGTGTCCAATGTCAACTGCCAATCAAAAGGTCTTGACTTCAGACTTACATAAGCTGGTGTATGATTTTTGAGACTTTATTTGCTCAAAGTAAAAAAAAAATCAATCTGAGTTTTTAGTATCATTATATATATATTGAAAATAGGGAGCTAGAGCTGTAAAATAAAAATTTAGGTAATAAATAGCCCACATAAACATTTGAGGAACTAACATAATTGCAATTCCTTATTTTGTAACTGAAAAACAAAAGACTGAATATATCAATTCACGTGACTGTATCTCTTGAGGATATTTCTAATGGAAAGAGATCTCTTTTACA